AAAAAAAAAAAAAAAAAAACAAGGCTTCGGTTTGCAGAAAGTCAAACGCGCAGATTTTCAGCGTACACTTCATGAGTTTCGGCAAAGGTATTCACCCGTGTAACCACCACCCCAGTGAGGGTACAACACGTTTCCAACACCCCAGGAAGTCCCAAGACTTCCTAATAACCGCCTCCTCCCGAGGCAATTCTAATTTGATTTCTATCTCGGTAATATAGTTATCCCTGTTCCTGAACTTCACAGAGTCTTCACTCTTTTGGAGTCCGGTTTCTTCTTAGCATAAGGTCCATCCAGCACTGTCAGTGTCTCAGAAGTCCATGCCTTTTTATTGCTTTCCATTCTGTGCAATCTACCACTTGTTGATCCATTCACTTGTTGGTAGATATTTGGGTTGTTTCCAATTTTTTATAATTATGAATAAAGCTGCTATAACAGTTAGTGTATAGGTTTTTGTGTGGATATATTTTCTTCTCTCATGGGTAAATACCAAGACTGGCATTACTAGGTCTTGTAAGTTGTATGTTTAACTTTAGAAGAACTTGTCAAATTGTTTACCAAAGTGACTGGATCATATTAAATCCCCACCAGCAATGCTTGAGAGTTCAGTTGCTCCGCAATATTTGGCATGGTCAGGGTTATTAGTTTTAGCCATTCTAGTGGGGGTAGAGTGGTCTAATCCATTCCAAATGCGCACTGTATTTATCTTCCTGCCAGTTGTTTGCAATCACAATGAAATGATTATTTGTGTAGTGTCTTTCTCTTCTGATACACAGAAAGCTCCAGGAACCTTTGTGTTTTCCTAGGATGGTGCGTGGCAAATAATGGGTGCCCAATTCAAGTTAAAAGAGTGAATGAATTCAACAAAAATTTATGTTTAAAATATTCATAAATAAGAATAAACAAACTCAAAATTCAAAGAAATTTACTGTTTTCTGTGTTCTTTTTTCACTATTTCTGTGTTTCGCATTGTATTGTGGTTGTAAAGTTTTTTTCATCTTTAATTGGTGGTAATTTCCCTCAGACTGTGCCTCAATCAAGTAAGCTATGTGTGATGGTTAATTTTATGTGTCAATTTGACTGGGGCAAGAGATGCCCAAATAGCTGGCAAAACATTATTTCTGAGTGTGTCTGTGAGAAACTTTATGGAAGAGACTATCATTTGAATTGGTGAGCTGAGTCAAGCAGATGGCCCTTCCCAATGTCAGTGGACATCATCCAATCCATTGAGGCCTGAATAGAGCAAAAAAGGTGGAGAAAGGCTGAATTTCCTCTTTCTGCTTGATCTGAAACATTCATCTTCTCCTGCTCTCAAAGATTGGTGCTCCTGGTTCTCAAACTTTTGGATTCAGGCAGAAACTTACGTCATCAGTCCCCTAGTTCTCAGGCCTCCAGGACTGTATTACACCACCAGCTTTCCCAGTTCTCCAGCTTGCAAATAGCAGACATGGGACTTCTTGGCCTCTTTAACCATGTGAGCCAATTCCTATAATAATTCTCCTCTCTTTAGGCCAAGTGCAGTGGCTCACACCTGTAATCCCAACACTTTGAGAGACTGAGGTGGAAGGATCACTTGAGCCCAGGAGTTCAAGACCAGCCTGGGCAACAAAGTGAGACCCTGTCTCTACAAAAAATCAAAAAAATTAGCCAAGCATGGTGGTGCACACCTGTGGTCTCCGCTACATGCGAGTCTGAGGCAGGAGGATCACTTGAGCCCAGGAGGTCAAGGCTGCAGTGAGCTGTGTTTGTGCCACTACACTCCAGCCTGGGTGACAGAGCAAGACCCTGTCTCAAAAAAATTTTTTTTAGTTTTAGAAAAATTATTCTCCACATATCTATCTATCTACTGGTTCTGTTTCTCTGGAGAACCCTAGCTAATACATTATGGTAATTATTCCTTGGGTGTCTAAAGGTTCTGTCCTTAAAGGGTTGCAGAAGGATATAAAAAGAGGTTCCTGTCCAGAAGAACTCCACACTGTAATTGCTGGTGACCAGGTGCAGCATGTGATATAGAAAAAAACAAAATGCAGGCGCTCTGGATTCTAGGTACAGCCCTACCTGTTCCTATGACCAAAAGTGACTGCTGCTCTTCACCCTTAGTTGTCTCTAGTCCCCTTTCTGAACTTAGTAACTGGAAAAGCACACTTCATGGTTTTTAAGTTATAAGTTAACTAAATCATCTTTAGGAGTAACCCTGGAAGAACCTATAAAATTATTATTACTATCGTTTCTTGTATTTTATTTTTAGTAGAGATGAGGTTTCACCGTGTTGCTCAGATTAGTCTCGAACTTTTGGGCTCAAGCAGTCCTCCCATCTTGGCCTCTCAAAGTGGTGGGATTACAAGCGTAAGCCACTGTACCTGGCTATAAAGTTAATAGTAAACATTGGTTACTATTACTTATATATTCTTTCTGTGTTTCATTAATTCATTAACAAATATCTTCTGAGCGCCGGTGTTGTGATAGATAATGTGCCAAAGTTGCAAAGACACAAAGTTCATTTAGACCTGGTTCTCTGCACACAAACTCTAACAGGGTCAAGAAAATCAACATTTCTGAGATGCTATGATAAACAGAGGGTTTTTGAAACCTAGATGAGAGGTTCCTTATCTAGATAGTACTGAGAATGGGAGTAGAAGAGTTATAAATTAGAGAAGGCTTCTTGAAAGAGGTTATATTTAAATTGAACTTTGAGGATAACTAGGAATTAACTAATTAAAGAATTGGTTTCCTGGGGAGTTGCATGTTTGTCTACAAGATGTAGACAAACTATTGTCTCAACTATTTAGATTAATCATTTGTTATTATCAGTAAACACCTACTACAAAATCTACATCTTTATTTATATCACTGTTATCTGTCCTAGGTTAAACATTGTTAGAGCAGAAAGTTCACAAAATTGCCATCATCTTAGTCATTTTTTCACAGCACCCCAAGACCAAAAGCAATACTAATAAGTCCATTGAACAGGTGAGATCCAAACAACTTAGTATTTATATCCTAGCAACTTACTAGGCATATGAACAAATGATATACACAAATCAAAAAATTTATTTTTAATTTCATTCTTGAACAACCACACTTATAAATTAGATGTCTGTGCCTGTTGCTTACTGCCCAATTTCTCTAACCTTGAAATGAGACTTTCTCATTCCGTTGCACGTTGATAATCAGGCAGTCCTTTTTTTTTTTTTTTTTAATCAACACAACCACAGAAAACACAGTCTTGCAAAGATATGAAATCGGTGAAAGAAATGTACTATAATGCAAAGATATGATATTAATGAAAAAAAAAGTGCCACAATCTGATGTTGAAATTGTGCACAACTTGGAGTCACTACATGTCTGACAAATACCAATGGTCACCATTTCCCTTCCGAATTTAAAATATCCTGGAGTGCTCTTGGTGACTTTGTTTCAGCACCCCAGGGTGCTAGCCACACAATTTGGGAACTTTGGCGCAAACCGATGCCTGGTGATGCCCAAATTTTCAGAGAGACAAAGAGAACAGCAAAGAGTAATCATGCAGGAAGAAGGTATGGATTCAATAAGGACGGGGCTTCACAAAGGCTCATGCCTAATCATATGTTAGGGCTTTTAATCCTCCAAGCGACCCCGTATGGAAGATATTATATCCCCAACTTAGCAAGGAAAAGCTGAGTCTCGGAGATTAAGTTCCCAGCCTCATTCATGATTTCAGATCTATGACTCAAACCCAAGATGTCTGGCTTCTGTGGTCTTTCAAATAGATAAATGTAAAGAAAAGAGATTTGGAAGAAGAAAGTTTTGAATTAACTACCACAATAATAACACTCCTTACAAAACACATTATATTTCTTTGAATATTTATTTATATTTTTATTTAGAACTTGCCTTTCTCTGAATTGCTGTTAAAAAGAAAAAGGAAAGGAGATGGAGAAAATGGAGAGGAATTTTAAAAAAGAAAATGGCATAGGAAATATTACATTCTTTTATGATCAGTCACTAAAATTTATCTGGGAGAAGTCTATTTTTAACTGGCAACAAGACTGAAATAGATCATTTAAATACAGCAGACTGCCTTCCTGACTTATTTGTTCATTATTTGTGATAATAGTGGAAACTTTGAGTAGACTTTGTTCTGCCACTGGACTTTATTTTCCATACGAAGGCTAGGAGGCAAATAAATCACCACACAGCTGTTTGAAATCATGCTTCAACAAATATCCTTCAAGAAGGGCATTGTGTTAGATCCTGGCGTGAGGGTGGGTGAATAGATGGGAGTGTCTTGCTGAAGATTTATCACAATCTTTCTTTAAAGGTTAAGAGGAATATACATATATATGAATGTTCACAGCTTTATTCATAATAGCCCAAACTGGAAACAACCCGTATATCTATCAACTGGAAAATAGATAAATGTGGTATGCCATACAATGGAATTCTGCAAAGCAGTAAAAACCAAACTACTAATATATTCAACGAGGAAGATAAATCTTTTAAACAATCACAATGAGCACATGAAGCCAGACACAAAAGGGTACTTATTGTATGATTCCATTTACATGAACTTCTAATGCAGGAAAAAAACTTATTGATGGTGATGGCAATTAAATAGTGGGTATCACAAAAGAAGGGAGTCAGTGGACATTGACTAGAAAAGGGCCTGAGGCAGCTTTCTGCAGTGATGGAAATGGTCTATATCTTGATCTGGGTAGT